ATTTTCACTTAATTTATTTACAATGAAAATTACTAATAAGCGTACATGAACGAGGTTTTTATTTTTCTCGAAAAATCTCAAAAGTACTTTTAGTGTTTGATTGTTTTTCTATATACATCCGTGCACCACGCAGGTGGGTACAGGTCCCCGTTCTCACCCTATGCGAGTTGAAGAGTTTCATTGTTATTTTTTTTAGAAAACAGTTTCAATAATAATACCATGTAACATGATTTATGTACAAAATAGAGCAATGGAATTCCTATACCTCCTCCAGCAGCGCCCTCTATGGTTTGAACCACCGGTATTGTCTATTTAACCACTAAACCACAGCTACTCATAGCTCTCTTAAATTATGTTCAAAGAAAAATGATCAAACACTAAAATAAAGAAATAATTTAAAACCATAGCACATAATGAATGCTTACAGTAAACACATTTAAGTCATAATTTGTTATTTTTACGTTAAAATAAATTTATTTTTGTTTTTTTTTTCAACTTAAAATATAGTTATTAGAAGCGTAATAATATTGCAAGTAGATGTTTTTTGTTGCTATTAATTAAAATTTGATACTTTGCATATCGATTTTTATTTACAATTTTTTTTTTTATACTTTTCATCGAATGTTGTTTACATTATGAAATCAAGAGTAAATATTTAATTGTTCCATTTTACGTCGAGTCGATTTATGTTGAGTCTAGAAAGATTTTTTCGTGCAGTTCAAGCTTCCTATTCCTTTTATATCAAGTTATTAAGTCAAAACACAAATGAAAAGGAACTGAATAAATTTAGAATAGTGTTCTGCGGTCCACAGGCACATCGACATTGCCGAAATGTAGTAAGATTATTAGTAATGTAATTGCAATCAGATTAAATAAATTTTAATTTCCGTGCCTATTGTACTAATAGCACTCGATTTGCAGAGAATACAAGCGGGATAGATATTAAATATTCGACGTAGAGGGAGTAAAAGCGAGAAAGATACAAGTGACTCGACGTACATCTAATAAAAGCGAACTAGATAGTATAGACTCGACGTACAGGGAATAAAAGCGAGAAACAACTTAAGGCACTCGACGTAATTCAGAACAATTCTGAAACAGAGTCATCAACTTGTCTATGACATCAGTGGTGTTGCTAGCGTGTATGCAGTGTTGCTATTAACAAATTCACGGTTTATTTGACGTATTTCAACGTGATTGCGTTAGCTCGTTTTGTGTTGTGTAATTTCTTTTAAATTTCATATTTCTAGATTTGACAATAAGGCATATTTTTATAGTTATAGAGGGTGTTTAAAACTACCTTCTCAAATTGCTAAACGTCTTTACATGGGCCGACTTTTTCAAACAAAAAAACTATTTCTTATTGCACATTACAAATACGTCATAGAACGGTAATGTAGAATAAGCTAGTGTACAACAGATAGGCTAGCAATTATAATCAGGCAATCTAGGGTAGAAAACTATGAGATGCAAAAGAGGGTGCAATCGTATAACCATAGATCAATAACTCAAGGGGTTGCTAATCTCGACTCAAGACTGCGTAGTCGGTTATTTAGTACCCATTGGTATACACCAGATGTCGCAACGAGTACTAAATAGCTGCAATCTGTCAAAGCTACTCCGATTTCGAATGATAACAAACAAATGAACTAGATGACGCCTATTGCACAGATTTTTATGGATAGTGCTGGCTATTCTTTCGGTTTGTTTAGGAGTAGCGCCATCTATCCATATTAGGAAGAGTTATTTTAAAAATTAGTTTGTAACACACATTCCCATCTATTAACACGCATATGTGTCAAAGTTCAGATAATAATTTTAGGTCATGAAATATTTAAAGAAAACAAAACTGAATTCCTTCATTCCGGCCGGATTCGAACCGACGTCTTCTAGCAAACCGTGCCAGACGCTATGCCAACTAAGCCACAGAACGAACCAGAGGACCTCACGAATTTTTCTATATGCTTGTTTGTCGGATCTTTGTGATCTGGTTTATTAACGAGTTTTAGCCATAACGCCATCTATGAGATGTCTATGAAAGTATTTCGTCACCCAGGCACCTTTACAGCTACCAGCCCTGGCTAGACTCACAAACAACAGGCGGTGAAAAGTCCTGACATTCAGTAAAACACTTAATGACTTCTTATATATCATATCAAAGAGGAGTTAATCGATAGCCACGCCCATTTACATAATGTAATCTTACGTACTTTATGACGGAATTTTGACCTTTGTCTGAGTTACGATCTGCAGTATAGAGATTAGCAGCCATTTGAGTTATTTGGTCCATGACTTAACCCAGCCCTTTACTTGCTATGACCATGACACACATTCTCTTCGTTAACACACCTTAGTGGTTTCATACACGCTCGTCGGTTAAGGTTAATCTTGACCTGGTCTTTCTTTTTGGTCATGATAAAATTGTCGTTACCAACTTGCGTCTAACTCTTGCCTTTTAAATCTGCTGCATTACCTTCTTTCATTCATTCTCTCTGTATGTTCAGTTCAAACCGCCTATAATCTATAGTCTGTCTTATTTGACGACGGTGTAAAATCAACAGTTCATTGTACAAAAGTGTTGCCCGCTCGCAAGCAGCTAGTGATTTGCAGACGGTAAATCGCACTGCTTATAGAATAGTGTATTAACTCAAAAAGTGAATTTATTCAGAATAGCTGAAAAACGAATGACGCAGTCCCCATGAAAGATTATTATAATTTATGTATAGGTTAAATCCTAAACAACTCCTACTTGCCAATTAGAAGTATATTTAAAAATAAAAGTAAAAAATAATTTCATATTTCTCAGTAAGGACTGTTTTGTCCATAAGTAGCTCACAAAACGTTTGTCTAATTCTGGGTTAAGTAGATATATTTTAATAGTTTGTTACAATATTCTGTCGACAATTTTATTGACGTGCAGAGAAACAAATTTTTTGTTCAGAAATGGTATAATCTTGAGTTTCACGTATTTTGAGTTACAACACTATTGTAATAGCAGTGCGAAATATTCTATTGACTATCGACTCAATGTTGTAATGGAATAAATAGCCGAACTAGTATTATTTGAACCATTCAATAACTGAGCACTAGTTCATTTGAATTGTCAGTATTTGTAAGTTCATGCATACATACACTGTATTTAGAAGAGGTTTATGAAAAATAGGAGGAGACATACTTTAAAGTTTTCCACATTTCGCTATTTTTGTTAAAATGTATATGAATAAAAATTTATCTCGATACTAGTAGGCCATTTGTCAAAATAAGAATAATGAAGGCAATCACGCAAATAGTAATCATTAGAACGTCTATCGATAAAACTATCGACAACAACTACATAACTATTTAAAATTTTATGAAAACTGGCAACCCTACGAATGACATTTTGCTCAAAGACAGACTTTAGTAGAATAAAAATATAACAATGATATTTACTTTTAAAATTTGTTACATAATCAATCATCCGCTATAGATACAAATTGTTCCCGAAATTACATTTTCTATTAAATTTAAAAAACTAAATATTTACAATAAAACTAAAAAATCTTGGGTTTACACACGGCACTTAGTTTAGGAGTTTTAAAGCTTGGTTTTACTTCTGCGAGATGGATTACGGAGTTCTTTTAAAAATGACTGTGGTTTAATTTCAAATTATAAAGTCAGATATAGTTAGTGATTGGAAGGATAATACGAGTCCATAATTAGTTTCGTTTTTATACAGAATCGACATGTAGTGATGTTAAAAGATCAAAGCATCCATCTCGAAAAGTTACAAAAGTTTTTAAATAATAAAAAAAAGATGGCAAATATTTTTTTTTTAACATTCAAAAACTGGAAAAATCTTACACATACAAAAATATATATTTTAATACAGTGTGCGAAAACACTTTGCCTATACAGGGTGAAATGGTTAATTGTGCCCAGGCAATATAAGAGATATAAAAACATTGAAACTGACATCGAAAGTACATTGCCTAATGAGTAAAACGTCATCAATGACTTTTTAGAAATAAAATTAGAAGTATCCAAAATTTTAACGTTCAACGCCCCCATACATTTAATATGACATTCGTGGAGAGGCATTAGTTTCGAACAACTGCTTTAGATGCAAAATTTTCACGTTGTTTTTTTTTCAATGCAAGGATACTTTTATTACTTTATTTATAGCGGTTCCGTTATCTGTGAACTTATTATTACTTCTTAAAGCCTCTCTATGAATGTGATATTAAATGTATGAGAGCGTTTAAAGTTCAAATTTTGGATATTTCTAGCTTTATTTAAAAAAATTGTTGATGTCTACTTTCGATATCAGCTTAAAAGTATTTTTCATATCTCTTATATTTACGGAATAATCGCCTGGGCACACTTACGATTTCACCCTGTATGTAATTATAGAATACTTCACATTTACATATAAAAAGCAGTGCGCTTTTAATTTGGGTCACACTCATACAGTGTTCTGGACAAAAGAATACCACAACTGGTCGTCGTTATTCACTGAATTTTCTAATTTCAGGTTTTCACAGGTCACATGTTGACCATGGACTGTGTAACCGTGATACGTAACCAGTGAATTCTCTTTACAGACCGGAACCAATTTAGAAAAAAAATTGTTTTTTTAAATTGGTTCTATCATTTCAACGTCATTCAAAATACATAAATGCTAAATAAATAAATGCTGTTTGTGAATGCACATTATCGCGGGTGTAATTAGGTGCGATAATAAAAAAAAATTTTAATGTAAATTGTCTAAAAAAATCTTCAAGAAATTATATTGCAAAAAAACTAAAAACTAAACTAGAATTAAATGGCATACAAGTTAAACTAAAGGTGGGATAGATAACTTATTATTGTTTTGTACTAATAAGTAATAACTTAACTTTTTTTAATATGGCAATTCTTATTTACACTTAAGATCACTTAAAGAATTAGGCTGGTACACTGCCGTGAGCGTAAATCGAACAAATTTTTTTTTTTGCAATTTTTAACCTAAATAACTTCGTAATAGTAACCAATTACCATTAACGTCATTTCAACTTTAAATTCAATATTAATCTAAAATTTTTCAAGTTCAAAAAATAATGGCTTTTTTATTCCTAAATGTCATACTTTGTAATATTAAATAGATAATTTCTTTTTACCCTATATGTCTATACATGGCGCTGGTGTCGACTCCTAGCGAAGCAAGAGAACAGGTCGATTTTTAAGCCTTTAATATTACAATACAAAATCGATTTATTAAACAGCTGTGACCAATGATAAGTCACCAATATATGACCTAGGCTACTCAAATAAGGACCAGCTCACCCATATATGATGAAGGCCACTCATTTTCTAATACAGGTCACTCACATACTGGTTAGGCCACTCGTATACGACCCAGGAACTCAAATAATATGATCCGTGTCACAATTGTTCACAATAAATTCTCGTTATGCTAAAACATCAATCTGTAGCCAGGCTTTGACCGATGATGAGTAAAGAATGAAGCAGGTTCCTCACCAGATCTGTGTTTTCGTAACATCTGGGAATGTTTCGGGTCTAACATGGCCGTGTAGCCACTGGTGCAGAGGTCTGGGTACCGCTTGAAGAATGAGGAGTAGCCTTTGTGGAGGAGATAGATTTCTGGATATGTAAGTGTTGGATAGTTTTCGCGGTTTTTGGATCTGTCGGTAGAACGGAGGTAGCGGTATCTGAAAGATGAAAACAATCATGAACTGTATGAACATATGTATCTTATTTAGACAGAGGGTTAGAGTTAGTGTGTGATGTGAGTGGGTGTGTATGGTGCTGCGAGTGTGTGGTGTGAGGGTGTGGTTTGTGTGTGGTGAGAGTGTGTGGTGTTATAGTGAGGCGAGAGTATGTGACGCGAGTACACACGCTATGACAGTGTGGTATATGTGTGGTGTTATTGTGTGATGCGAGTATGTGGTGCACGTGTGTGGT